ATACCCATATTTAGTCAACATCAGACTTACTCATACTCGTACGTACTCATATACAGACTTACTCATACTCAGCCCTACACAGACTCAGACCTTCTCATCGTCTGAGTTACCCAACACGCGGCAGATTCTGAGGATGCCTCAGGCGGGGCGGTGGCTTCAGCAACCATAGAGGGAGCCGCCAGAGGTGTTCCCACGGGCCCGTTCGCGACCAGTTTGTTTGTGGGGATGTCCCAAGCGGCTTGCTCGATTTTACAACCCACATCTTTTGCTTTGAGAGCAGATTGTGAGGATGTCTGAGGCGGGGCGCTCGTTTCAGCACCCTTTAAAAAGGAGCCGCCAAGGGTGTTCTCACGGGCCCGTTCGCGGCCAATCTGTTGGGATGTCTCAAGCGGTTTGCTCGTTTTCATGCCCAACATCTTTTGCGTTCAGAGCAGATTGTGAGGATGTCTGAGGCGGGGCGCTGGTGTCAGCACCCCTAAAAAGGAGCCGCCAGAGGTGTTCTCACGGGCCCGTTCGCGGCCAGTTTGTTGGGATGTCCCAGGCGGTTTGCTCGTTTTCATGCCCACCATCGGTTGCTTTCAGAACAGTTTGTGAGGATGCCTCAAGCGGGGCGCTGGTTTCAGCACTACCAAGGAGTGCCGCCAACGGTGTTATCACGGGCCCGTTCGTGGCCAGTTTGTGGGGGTGTCCCAAGCCTTTTGCTCGTTTTCATGCCCATCATCCTTTGTTCTCAGAGCAGAATGTGAAGATGTCTCAGGCGGGGCGCTGGTTTCAACACCCCTAAGGGGAGCCGCCAAGGGTGTTCTCACGGGCCCGTTCGCGGTCAGTTTGTGGGAATTTCTTAAGCGGTTTGCTCGTTTTCATGCCCAACATCTTTGCTTGCAGAACAGGTTGTCAAGATGTCTCAGGCGGGGCGCTGGTTTCAGCACCCCTAAGGGGATCTGCCAAGGGTGTTCTCACGGGCCCGTTCGCGGCCAGTTTATGGGGATGGCTCAAGCGGTTTACGCGTTTTCATGCCCAACACTCTTTGCTTTATAGCAGATTGTGGGGATGTCTCAGGCGTGGCGCTGGTTTCAGCACCCGTACGGCGAGCCGCCAGGGGTGTTCCCACGGGCCCCCTCGCGGTCAATTTGTGGGGATGTCTCGGGCGGTTTGCTCGTTTTCATGCCCAACATCCTTTGCGTTCAGAGCAGATTGTGAGGATGTCTCAGGCGGGGCGCTGGTTTCAGCAACCCTAGAGGGAGCCGCCAGGGAGTAGGACGCTCATGAACAGACGCTCACTATGGCATGACATAAAACATGATATGCGCATATGGGGAGCTCCACGCAGGGAGTAATTTCTTGGACGCCGCCGACTCCAGAGAACAATAACACACCCAGAACACAGACTTACTCATGCACAGGCTTACTTACACTCAGACTTACTCATAAACATACTTACTCATACTCAGACTTACTCATACCCAGACGTGCTCGTACACATACTTACTCATACTCACACATACTCCACGTACACAGACTCACTCATACACAAATTTAGTCAAAGTCAGACTTACTCATGCCCAGACGTACTCATATACAGACTTACGCATACTCGGACCTACACATACTCAGACCTTCTCATCGTCTGAGTTACTCAACACACGGCAGATTATGAGGATGTCTCAGGCTGGGCGCTGTCTCAAACGTTCTGCTCGCTTTCATGCCCAACATTCTTTGCTTGCAAATTAGATTGTCAAGATGTCTCAGGCGCGGCGCCGGTTTCACCACCCCTAAGGGGAGCCGCAACGGGTGTTCTCACGGGCCCGTTCGCGGCCAATTTGTGGGGATGTCTCAAGCGGCTTGCTCGTTTTCATGCCCAACATCCCTTGCTTTCAGAGCAGATTACGAGGATGTCTCAGGCGGGGCGCTGGTTTCAGCACCCCATAAGGGGAGCTGCTAGGGGTGTTCTCACGGGCCCGTTCGCGGCCAGTTTGTGGGGATGTCTCAGGCGATCTGCTCGTTTTCATGCTCAACATCCTTTGCTTTCAGAGCAGATTGTGGGGATGTCTAAGGCGGGGCGCTGGTTTTAGCACACCCTAAGGGGAGCCGCCAAGAGTGTTCTCACGGGCCCGTTCGCGGCCTATTTGTGGGGATGTCCCAAGCGGCCCGATCTCATGCCCAACATCCTTTGCTTGCACAATAGGCTGTCAAGATGTCTCAGGCGGGGCGCTGGTTTCAGCACCCCATAAGGGGATCCGCCAAGGGTGTTCTCACGGGCCCGTTCGCGGCCAATTTGTGGGGATATCTCAAACGCTTTGCTCGTTTTCATGCCCAGCATCCTTTGCTTGCAGGGCAGAATGTGAGGATGTCTCAGGCGGGGTGTTGGTTTCAACACCCCTAAGGAGGGCCGCCAGGGGTGCTCTCACGGGCCCGTTCGCTGCCAATTTGTGGGGATGTCTCAAGCGGATTGCTCGTTTTCATGCCCAACATCCTTTGCTTTCATAGCAGATTGTGAGGATGTCTCAGGCGGGGCGCTGGATTCAGTACCCCTGAGGGGAGCCGCCAAGGG